AAGGAGAGTTCAGAGGACAAAATGGGACTCTGAAGAACTCCACGGTCATAAGGAAAGGCTGTAGATTCGGGTTGAACAAGAGGAGAATAAAACATACATTCTTTTATCAGGAAAACCCTTCCAAAATCGGGCATCTCCGTTCGCCCCAAAACATCCTTCCAAGTGCTTGTTCAGGCACAAACAACTCGGACAATGCGCTTCTTGAAAGCAGCCTACATACGGTAGGAGAAATCGGACCTATACACAAGGCTAGATTACGTAGTCAAGCTATACTTGTCCTGAAAATTCCGAGTCTTCCGATTCACACATTCCACTTGTGTGTAAACTTTCGCCTTCATCTCCTGTAAATTGCGCGATTAAGGCACCGTTTTCATTAGTAGATTTGTGCGCAACTAACTGTTCCAAGGCCGCTGGATATCGAGTTCATGTGCGAATTCAAACTGCTGTATTCCTCTTATTCGATATCTGTGGTATGTAGCGATGTGGTTGCGGGTTTTAAAATGACGCGCATTTTGTTGGTGCCGGTAAATTAATAATAATAAAAATAATTTTATTTAATTCAAGTTTATAGGCATTGTCAGGGAAGCGTTAAACACAAATCCGGCCAGCAATGAAAAATACTCCCGTGGAAAAGGAATAAAAATATAGTTGATGGTGGTTTTATGGTTTGGAGTGCTCAGGAGAAAAAAGCTGCTGGCGTCAAACTTTCGACAGTCAAGAAGGGAGGGGCTGCCCGGTATCGGATAATATCAGTCGCTAATTTCTTTCACTAAGTTGGTGCTAGTCCAAACAGGAGCGCCGAAGAACAGCTGTCGCCGTTGGCCAAAGAGATTGACCGTGGTGAGACCGGCCATAGAGATCAGAGACCACAAACGCCATGGCTACGGTACAGTCTATCAGAAGTTTCAGCATTCAAAATTTATGGAAGTTTTCCTGAATGCAAAAATCGAGTAATAGTTCTCTTAAATAAAGTATAATTTTGCGGAGTTTTCACACTCATGGGTAGTTTATTCCAAATAGCAATTGCATTTACAGGAAAGAACCGACGATATTTAACAGTACGTGCCAGAGGAAGAAATAAAAAGACCTCACGGTGACTGTTACATCGTGGGCGGATATGATGTCTTAAAGAGATGAGTGGGTTAAATGTGTGATTATCTAGTCCCTTTTGTAATCTACGGAACAATAAAGGATCCAGGTCTGTAAGCCGGCAACGTTCTTGGTAAGACAAATGTCGGTGTTCTGGGGTTAAAATTCTCTTGGTGAAAAAGTGTTGGACGAATTCTACTTTCTTCTGCTCGCCAGCACGCATGAGGCTAAATAAAAACGAACCGTATTCCAGGCCAGGTCTAACGTACATGTTGTAAGGGCGCATTCTAATGTCCCTAGTTTTAAAGTTTCGGGGGATAAACCCGGTGGTTCTACGTGCTTTGGAGACTATCAAGGCACAGTGCTCCGATAGATTGAGATTCTTGGAGTATGATACGCCCAGATCATTAATAACCCCATCACACTTATGGCGTGACCTTCAATACTTAGTTGAGGTTAGCGGTCGTCGCCAACCACCATGACTGAGCATTTATGCCAAGAAAAAGAAAGGCGCCATGTGCGGCACCACTGGGCAAAGGCCTAAAGGTCGTTCGTTAGGAGTTCAAGTACGGTGTCACGATCTGCCGACTTATATCGATATGCAACTTTAAGATCATCGGCATACATGAAAGGCTTACCATTCTGAAATAAATCGGATACATCATTAACAAAATGGCAAAATAAAAGCGGGTCGAGTACACTACCCTGAATGACTCCACTCCTCGCATACGTGGAATTGGAGAGAGCATTGGAAATCTTAACTCGTTGTGTACGAGTGCCCAGGTAAGAGGATGTAAAATTTAAAAGTTTGCAATCTATTCCAATAGAGGACAATTTCAAGAGGAGAAGAGCATGGTCAACACGATCAAAAGTCTTAGTGAAATCGAAATACACTGTGTAAAGTGCAAAGCAATTGTCCCTAGATTGGAACACATAGTCGAATCAAGTGAGCCGACGGGTATGACAAGACCGAGCTTTGAGGAATAAATGTTGAGCATCAATCAGTAGGTTATTCTCCCTTAAGTGACACATCATGTTGTCTCTGATCAGCGTCTCTAAGATCTTAGAAACTGCGGGGAGGGTGCTTATTGGCCGAAATTCATCAAATGACGTAGATTTGCCGTGCTTAGGAATGGGCAAATTGTGTGATTCCTTCCACAAGGTAGGATAAGTTTCACTTTCAAGAACGAAATTAAATATTTTGCATAGGAGGGATGGGAAAATCGTGTTTGCATCGGCTTTTAAAATGCTTACTGGGACACTATCAGGTCCTGGACGATGAGATTGGCGAAAACGCCGAATCGAAATATTCACGTCCCACAGAGTGAAAGTTACAGTTTCTAGAACTGCCCCGGTCAGTGCCTGGATGGCCCGAAGCGAAGTGGTCGAGTCTTCAATAAACGTTTTGGACAGGAAATCATTGAAGCTATCCGCGGTTAATTGGGCATCAACTATGGGATTTCTGAGATCGTCTCGAAGGATGGGATACTGCGTCTTTCTCTGAGTTCGTATTTTTCTAGAGAAAAGTTTCGAGACACTTAACGAATGGTATTCGGTGAACTGGACCTCCTCGGATAACTGTGTTTATTCAAACAATCTCTTGGCCCGCTAAAAATATCACAAATCAAGGGCATGACAGAAACT